GAGAAGGCCGCTCTCCTCCTTTCTAAAGTTACATGCTAATTTCTCACGTGAACATCACTAGCCCCGGCCACTTCTTTATGACCCGAGGTCTACACCCATTTCAAACCTTTTAAAACAGTCTGCCTCAGCAGCAGACCATGCTTTTACACCTGACGGACGCTTGTGTTGCGCCTGAAACGTCGTGATTTATTTAATGCCTATGTGTCTTTTACTGAAAGAACCAAAGAGTATATAATATTATAAACGATGAACTACAACCTATCAATTATAACTCTGTAAAATACTATCAATTGTTATAGTGTATAATCACGTAAATGGAGTTATGGGATTATAATCGAGGACAATGGATGGCATGGGGAACTTGTTTTTCCAGCGCTAATCCCATTTATTCAAAATAAGCGCACAATTATACACTGAGATTAACTTACATATTCATGCATGAAGCACAATGGGCACATTACCCTTCGGTATGTTAATAGACATGCGGATTGTGACTTCATAAATTAACAATCGAATGCAAATATCATGAATGACAAAGGATTGGATCCTAGGGGGGGAGTTATAAGGCGGCTCAGAAGCAGAGCTCAATGCCATTTCGAGAGGGAACTTGATGAGGTTGGACGCTCGACTCGTCGCTCTGCTGATCGTCCTTCAACCGCGAGACAACGCAGCCTGGCGAGCACAATTGCTGTGTCGACAGTTAGGCGACTTTGCGTCGGGAAAGTTCGTGGCGACATCTTCAGACGGGTTCCAGACATCGATACACCGTGAATCTCCAAGTAAGTGTCTATTTTCGCGGATAAAATCTTAAACGTGTTCGTCGTCAAATTTACGGGATTTTTTGCGTCTCGCTTAGACGCGAGTGTCGTTCTTGTTTTAGCAGTTAACAAAATCCAAAACTCCTTTCGGCCGATAGCGTACTTTTGACTCAATAACACCGCTGCTGTTACTACGCTCACATGGAGCAGAGACGCTCTCCACAGCCCCACGCACACGGAGGCAAGAAGCAATTCAATTGCTCTGTGTGTGAGAAGTCATTTTCATGGCCATCACATCTTCAGAGACACCAGAGAACACACACGGGCGAGAAGCCGTTCCTGTGCCCTGTGTGTGGGAAGACATTTGCACGGTCATCACATCTTCAGATTCATCAGAGAGCACACACGGGCGAGAAGCCATTCCTGTGCTCTGTGTGTGGGAAGGCATTTGCACAGTCATCACATCTTCAGATTCATCAGAGAGCACACACGGGCGAGAAGCCATTCCTGTGCCCTGTGTGTGGGAAGGCATTTTCACAGTCATCATCCATGAACAGGCATCAGAAGGTCCACAATGATAGGAAGCTGAAATCAAAAGGTGGAATTCAAGGTGCTGCAATGATTCCTGAAGATAATTCCGCCTTCGATCCCATGCAGTTGGATCCCGAGAGATGGCTGGATGTAATGGAGTGGCTCGAGGATCAACCAGAGAGCTCGGGGTGACTGAAAAAATATTACGTCAGGTGGTTATACCTATTAAGCCGTATCGAGTACTTTTGTGTGTAATTTTGACCATTTTAGTTTTACAGTTTTTGTGAGAGTTTAATGACGTGCACAGTGGTGGTTTGTAATGTTATTGGATTACTTGCCGAAGTGGTGTGATGAGCACTGGTTGTGAGAGGGTTCAATTGTAGTCGTTAAGTGTTCCTGTTGAGCTAAAGTTGGAATGCGTCTGTAGGTACATCTTTACTCAACATTTTAAACAGTTTTTTTCAAGTATATAGCTTTTTTGATTGGTATTAATCAACTTTAGATAGCCGATTCCAGGATGTACATTGATGACGCGATCGTTGGATATATGGCCTTGACTTCAACATAGACGCACAGTGAACAAATGTGGTGAACTAATAAGGAAATCATGGGGAATGATACTTTAACGCTTTGGTATTCCTGGAACGGAAATGGTTTGCATTGTACTGGAAATGTGTGAACATAGGACATAATAAATATTCCCTTCGAGTTTTGACGTAAAAATGATTGCAGATGAATAAAAACGTATTTTTAACAAATGTTTGTCCGGTCTTTATTTTATAATGTTCCTAGCAAAAACATGTTAAGATAATTTCAGGTGGAGGATCTCCGTCACACAAGTGTGCTCTTAACCGGCAGCATCTTGGCTGTCTACCCGATTAACACGTGTTCCTTGAGGGGAAAGCCTCGTAGTTAATCGTTCATCAACGTAACAGTCCCTAATCCAGAAGTATGTCGGGGATAAACTGTAAACAATTACAACATGGTCATATTACAATCACTATTTTCACTGCTAAATGTCATCGAATAACAAAAGACGGAATATATTTATATAAAAACACGCACAAACCCATTATAAACTCATGAGATTATGAATCGTTACAATCATTGTTATAACAATCACAAATTGTGACAAAGAGAAATTCCCACAAGCAAAACACCACGCTCACGTGACGAATTCTTAAACAAACTGCAACACTCAAGTGACAGAACTCAACAAAAAAACGCCGCAATAAAAACAACATCAATAGACAAATCGTAAAAACAGACAACACAATTATTTTGTTAAGGCGCTCTTCCCCCCTTCCAACCCAGCTTTAATATACGCTCCAAGCCTGGTGGTGTTTCATTCAGACGCTGTCTCTCCGACAGACCTGGTTTTCACCTGAGTACGGCTGCTTGCATTGTGGCCGAAACGTCGTTAAAATTATTTTATTATGTTTTATTTTTATTATTTGATTACCTCCCTTCTACGTGACTTTACCGAAAGAACCAAGAAGATGTATGTAATATGGACGTGCGAACCAAGGGTTGGATATGTGAAACGGAACGTGCAGGATCAGGATGGGATTAAAATTATTTGAATAACACTTTGGTGGTATTGGTATCAAGCTTTTCACTGCTGGATGAATGTTCCATCTAAATGGCATCAAATAGCAATATTCAGTATGTATATATAAAATTATCGCACAAACCCAATATAAGCCCGTGCAATAATGAATCGTTACAATTGTAATGACTCGTTTGATAAAAGTATTTGATCAAAGTTTGTTATCCCATCACGGACCACCAAAGCGTGATCCTGCACCTTCCGTTTCACATATCCCACCTTTGGTTCGCACGTCCATATTACATACATACATGTTACATAATACATATTACATATATATATTCATGCATATTGCATACAGACACGTTACATACTCACGAGCATAGTGTGATTCTTAGAGGACCACGGTGTGAAGTTAAGAATTCGAATGAGATTCTAATATCACACTTCAATGTACGGTGTTCTAATCTGTAACACTAGTTTATGATGTAATTTTATAGAGTTATAATGTATCGCACATAGCTTATATTGTTAGAGTTCACAACATTATAGTTTACTATAACACTAGTTTGTAGTGTTATTTTAGAACGTCGCAATGTATAGCTCATAGTTTAAAGGTTATATTGTTAGAGTTTATAATGTTAGAGTATGCTCTGTGAGTTTACAATTTGAGAGTTTGTGGACGTGCCCTGTTCTCGTGGGACCCGACACGGATTTGGAAATAATTGCTATGATCATGTCTGAGCTGGGATGAGCGACTAATGTTTACTTTGCTTAATCATAACTGTGTGTAGGTTAGTGCCATCGGTGCTTAGTGAATACTACTCATGAATGAACTCATACTTCTTTCGGATAGAAATTTAAATCATGTTGGTAGAACAAGTCGCCTGTCTTTTCTAGACTAATTGTTATCTTCAAGTGCGTCAGTAAATATACTGCTAAAATACACAGCATAGGGGAGGCAGCCTTGTTGGGGAGATGTAGTTTGGCTAAGGCGCTGTGGCCGGGTGATGACACGGATTCAGAAACAATGGAGTTAAACACTCGCTGCTTGGCCCCGTCGACAGCAGCGAAGGCTGTCATATACCGCCCCATTTACGAGTTGGCTGTATGATGTGTATAGTTGAAGGTGCTAGGTGTTGTCTTCTTCTAACAGCTACTAACGTGCGTGTGTTGTCTGTTTTTAGGATTTGTCCATTGATGTTTTTTTTTTATTGCGGCGTTTTTTTGTTAAGTTCTGTCACTTGAGTGTAGCAGTTTGTTTAAGAATTCGTCACGTGAGCGTGGTGTTTTACTTGTGGGAATTTCGCTTTGTCACAATTTGTGATTGTTATAATAATTGTAAAGATTCATAATCTCATGAGTTTATAATGGGTTTGTGCGTGATTCTTATACGACCACACTGTGATTCTAATGCTTCTAATGATATTATAATACCTTACCTCCGTTTAAATGGTTATAAATTAAAACACTAGTTTATAATCGTTTAATGTTCAGTGTTATCGTTGATAGTATTACAGTTTACATGTCATAGAGTACAGTTTTTCCCCGACATACTTCGGAATTAGAGACTGGTACGTTGATGAACGATTAACTACGGGGACCTTTCCCCTCAATGAACACGTGTTAATCGTGTAGACAGCTAAGATGCTGCGGGTTAAGGGCACACTTGTGTGATGGAGATCCTCCATCTGAAATTCTCTGAACATGTTTTTGCTAGGAACATTATACAATAAAGAACTGACAAACATTTGTTAAAATACGTTTTTATTCATCTGCAACAATTTTACGTCAAAACTCGAAGGCAATGTTTATTACGTCCTATGTTCAAACAGTTACAGTACAATGCAAACCATATCCGTTCCAGGAATACCAAAGCGTTAAAGTATCATTCCCCATGATTTCCTTATTAGTTCGCAACGTTTGTTCACTGTTCGTCTGTGTTCAAGTCAAGGCCATATATCCAACGAACGCGTCATCAATGTACATCCTAAAGTCGACTATTATCAACCAAAAAAAGCTTAATACTTGAAAAAAACGTTTAAAATGTTGAGTAAAGATCTAACTACAGATGCATTCCAACTTTAGCTCAACAGGAAGACTTAAACACTACAATATTGTCCGGAATTGAACCATCTCACAACCACTGCTCATCACACCACTTCACCAAGTAATCACTACCTGCACGTCAAGAAACTCTCAAACGAACTGTAAAACTAAAGAGTCAGAATTACACACAAAAGTACTCAAGACAGCTTAATAGGTATAACCGCATGCAACATTATATTTCAGTCACCGCTAGCTCTCGGGTTGATCCTCGAGCCACTCCATTACATCCAGCCATCTCTCGGGATCCAACTGCATGGGATCGAAGGTGGAATTATCTTCAGGAATCATTGCAGCACCCTGAATTTCAGCTTTTGATTTCAGTTTCCTATCATTGTGGACCTTCTGATGCGTGTTAAGATTTGACGACTGTGAAAATGCCTTCCCACACACAGAGCACAGGAATGGCTTATCGCCCGTGTGTGTTTTCTGGTGACTCTGAAGATGTGATGACTGTGCAAATGTCTTCCCACACACAGAGCACAGGAATGGGTTCTCGCCCGTGTGTGTTCTCTGGTGACGCTGAAGATGTGATGACCATGAAAATGTCTTCCCACACACAGGGCACAGGAATGGCTTCTCGCCCGTGTGTGTTTTTTGGTGACTCTGAAGATGTGATGACTTTGCAAATGTCTTCCCACACACAGGGCACAGGAATGGCTTCTCTCCCGTGTGTGTTCTCTGATGACTCTGAAGATGTGATGACTGTGCAAATGCCTTCCCACACACAGGGCACAGGAATGGCTTCTCTCCCGTGTGTGTTCTCTGATGGTCTTGAAGAGTTGACGAGTGTGCAAATGCCTTCCCACACACAGGGCACAGGAATGGCTTCTCACCCGTGTGTGTTCTCTGATGAGTTTGAAGAGTTGATGCCCGTGCAAATGCCTCCCCACACACAGAGCACAGGAATGGCTTCTCACCCGTGTGCGTTCTCTGGTGAACTGTGGGGGGTCGAGGGTAAGAATGGCATTCAAATTTTAGAATGACAATTTGGTCGTTTTAGCAAATTACTGTACTTGAATGTATGTTATGTGCAAATGCAAATTGTTAGTCGTAAATGCGAGGGAGGGGTTAAGAGGTGCACGTTTAATCCAGTGTTAACATTTATTTTAGCATCATATTTAAGGACACTGTTGTTGATAAGAATTCGTCTGGACATGGCACGTGCCTTGTTCTACTCGATCAACCAAAATTAGTACAATTTCGGTCATGCAGAAGCGTGATTTCATTCATGAGTAGTATTCACACAGCCCCGATGACACCAACCTACCTAAAGTTATGGTTAAACAAAGTAATCTTGAGTGACTTTAATCTCAGCTCAGACATGATCATCGCAATCATTTCCAAAGACGTGTGGGGTCCTGCGAGAGCAGGTCCCCACTCGGAATCGGAAGTAGCTGCGTCGCCCTCGAAATGTGATGTTGCTGCTGTTGTTGTCGCTACTCTTGTTGCTGCTGTAGTTGCTTCTGTTGCTGTAATAAACGCAGGGAGGTGTTGTTCCGTGATGGGATGACGCCTTTGATTAAAGCCTCTGATCAAACTCACCCGATTGACGCCCTTGGTCGTTGCGTTTGATCAACTCTGATATTGTATACTCTCACATGCTAAGCTCTAACATAGTGAAACGAAATATTATAACCTATGAACTACAACCTATCCATTGTAACGCTGTAAAAGAATATTACCTATTGGATTTCACTCCATCGTCGAGAAGGCCGCTCTCTTCCTTTTCTAAAGTTACATGCTAATTTCTCTGCATTCACTTTAAATCGAGGACAAAGTTTTTCCATTCATTCAAAATAAGCGCACAATTACACACTGAGATGCACTTACATATTCATGCATGAAGCACAATTGGCACATTACCCTTCGGTATGTTAAAAGACATGCGGATTGTGCCTCCAAAAATTAACAATCGAATGCAAATATCCTGAAAGACAAAGGATTGGATCCTAGGGGGGGAGTTATAAGGCGGCTCAGAAGCAGAGCTCAATGCCATTTCGAGAGGGAACTTGATGAGGTTGGATGCTCGACTCGTCGCTCTGCTGATCGCCCTTCAATCGCGAGACAACGCAGCCTGGCGAGCACAATTGCTGTGTCGACACTTAGGCGACTTTGCGTCGGGAGAGTTCGTGGCGACATCTTCAGACGGGTTCCAGACGTCGATCTACCGTGAATCTCCAAGTAAGTGTCTATTTTCGCGGATAAACTGTTAAACGTGTTCGTCGTCAAATTAGCGGTATTTTTTTGCGTCTCGGTTAGACGTGAGTGTCGTTCTTGTTTTAGCAGTTAACAAAATCCAAAACTCCTTTCGGCCGATAGCGTACTTTTGGCTCAATAACACCGCTGCTGTTACTACGCTCACATGGAGCAGAGACGCTCTCCACAGCCCCACGCACACGGAGGCAAGAAGCCATTCAATTGCTCTGTGTGTGAGAAGTCCTTTTCACGGCCATCACATCTTAAGAGACACCAGAGAACACACACGGGCGAGAAGCCGTTCCTGTGCTCTGTGTGCGGGAAGACATTTGCACACTCATCACATCTTCAGAGTCACCAGAGAACACACACGGGCGAGAAGCCGTTCCTGTGCTCTGTGTGCGGGAAGACATTTGCACACTCATCACATCTTCAGAGTCATCGGAGAACACACACTGGTGAGAAGCCATTCCGGTGCCATGTGTGTGGGACGACATTTGCACAATCGTCAACTCTTCAAGACCATCAGAAAACACACACAGGCGAGAAGCCATTCCTGTGCCCTGTGTGTGGGAAGGCATTTGCACAGTCATCAACTCTTCAAACTCATCAAAGAACACACACGGGCGAGAAGCCATTCCTGTGCCCTGTGTGTGAGAAGTCCTTTTCACGGCCATCACATCTTAAGAGACACCAGAGAACACACACGGGCGAGAAGCCGTTCCTGTGCTCTGTGTGCGGGAAGACATTTGCACACTCATCACATCTTCAGAGTCACCAGAGAACACACACGGGCGAGAAGCCGTTCCTGTGCTCTGTGTGCGGGAAGACATTTGCACACTCATCACATCTTCAGAGTCATTGGAGAACACACACTGGTGAGAAGCCATTCCGGTGCCATGTGTGTGGGACGACATTTGCACAATCGTCAACTCTTCAAGACCATCAGAAAACACACACAGGCGAGAAGCCATTCCTGTGCCCTGTGTGTGGGAAGGCATTTGCACAGTCATCAACTCTTCAAACTCATCAAAGAACACACACGGGCGAGAAGCCATTCCTGTGCCCTGTGTGTGGGAAGACATTTTCCAAGTCATCAAATCTTCATAGTCATCAGAGAACACACACGGGCGAGAAGCCATTCCTGTGCCCTGTGTGTGGGAAGACATTTGCAGACTCATCAACCAGGAACAGGCATCAGAAGGTCCACAATGATAGGAAACTGAAATCAAAAGCTGAAATTCAAGGTGCTGCAATGAGTTCTAAAGAAGTTTCCACCTTCGATCCCATGCAGTTGGATCCCGATAGATGGCTGGATGTAATGGAGTGGCTCGAGAGTCAACCAGAGAGCTCGGGGTGACTGAACAAATATTACGTCATGTGGTTATACCTTTTAAGCCGTATCGAGTACTTTTGTGTGTTATTTTGAACATTTTAGTTTTATAGTTTTTTTGAGAGTTTAATGACGTGCCCAGTGGTGGTTTGTAATGTTATCGGGTTACTTGCCGAAATGGTGTGATGAGCACTGGTTGTGAGAGGGTTCAATTGTAGTCGTTAAGTGTCCCTGTTGAGCTAAAGTTGGAATGCGTCTGTAGGTACATCTTTACTCAACATTTTAAACGATTTTTGTCAAGTATATAGCTTTTTTTGATTGGTATTAATTGACTTTAGATAGTCGATATCAGGATGTACATTGATAACGCGATCGTTGGATATATGGCCTTGACTTCAACATGGACTCGCAGTGAAATGTGGTAAATTAATAAGGAAATCAATGATACTTTAACGTTTTGGTATTCCTGTAACGGAAATGGTTTGCATGGTACTGGAAATGTGTGAACATTTTGACGTAAAAATGATTGCAGATGAATAAAAACGTATTTTTAACAAATGTTTGTCCGGTCTTTAATTTATAATGTTCCTATGTTAAGATAATTTCAGGTGGAGGACCTCCGTCACACAAGTGTGCCCTTAACCCGCAGCATCTTGGCTGTCTACCCGATTAACACGTGTTCCTTGAGGGGAAAGGTCCCCGTAGTTAATCGTTCATCAACGTACCAGTCCCTAATCCCGAAGTATGTCCGGGATAAACTGTACTCTATAACATGTAAACTGTAATACTATAAACTATAACACTGAACATTAAACGATTATAAACTAGTGTTTTAATTTATAACCATTTAAACGGAGGTAAGGTATTATAATATCATTAGAAGTGTGGGGGCCGTTGGCCCCCGGGGTCCCTCCCGCCTGCATCCCCTATTCCGTTTACGTTACCCCACCTCCCTATTACCCGCTACGGTTTCGCTGGTATTTGAACGTGACGCCCCTACTGTTACAGCCTCGCGCCGCGCTCCCACGCTGCGAGCATACGTGCGCACAGCATCATCAATCAAACGCCATACTCCCCCTCTTTACACCGCTACGTACAGCTCTCGCACGCTGCGAGTGTGTGCCCGTCTATAGCCCTGTGCGGCACTCGCCTCCACGTCGAATAACCACGTACCAATGCGCATTCGTATCCGACACGTAACGAATGTATGCGCACTCACGTAACAGCTCCCCGCGGCACTCACTCACCACTGGATACTCGGGTTATGATCGCGCACCTGTATCACACACGGAGTGAACACACGCGACACCCACTCTCGCGCCGCTCTGCGCAGCGCTCCCCCGAGGCGAGCCGCAGCACTACACTCACCCCTGACTACTCGCGTTAGGATCGCGCACCTGTATCGCACCCGGGGTGGACGCACGCACACACACGCAGCTCCTCACGCGACACTCTGCACGACAAGATCACGCGAGACCACGCTTCGCTATTAATGATTTATTATATGCTACCTGCGAATTGATGTTGAATCAGTGAGTCGACGAGGCTGGCCTATTCCACCCAAACCTGTACCTATTCCCTATTTATTGGCTTACGCTACCCTACTTCACCTCCCCACTCACTGTTTGGTGCCCGCGGTGGTTCGCTGCTCCCTGTGCTAACAGCGCACCTCGATGAGTCGCGCGGACGCCCGGGTCGCTGGCTGGAGCCGCGGCTGGTCCGCTGGCCTGGAGAGAAGAGAGCGATTTCCCCTCTGCGCCCCTCTATTTATCCTCCCTACCTCAAAGGGGATGCTGCGCTGAACAATGGGCTCGTGCACCTCGAGCCCGCGCACGGCGGTTCCGGGCGCTTTTGATCTGCTAATCAGTGAGCGGCGTTGGCGGCGTACATCCTAATTACTCCCTTACCCTTCTTAACAATGGGGCCTGCGCGCTCAAGCGTAATTATCCCAACCCGCCATGACTATGCGCAACAGCTCCTGCGGTCCCGCTATTCATGCTGTCCCGTCCCTCCCTTGCTTGCCCCGTCGACCCGTGGAGGTGTGTGTGGGGGGAAATGCGCCTCAACCGCGGTGGCCGAATGCCCCATGCCGCGACCACACCATATTAAGGCTGGTCGCAGCGCAGCGGCGCAACGTAGCACGGGGGAGGTCGTCCAATTCCCTGATCGCCGGAAACCGTGAGAGTTAACCCCGATAAGGGTTTCTCGGATGAAAACCGGTCGGCCAGGTGACCTCCCCTCGGAGCTCTATGGGGGGGGGGGGGGGGGGGAATAGCGTGCGGGTGTGTTCGTGTGAGGTGAGGTGAGGGAGACGCGGGGTTGGCTCCGTTGCTTGGTGGTGGCGAGGTCGGGGATTTGGGCGCCTGCCGAACGGCTTCGTGGCGGCGGCATCACAGTATTATTAGTTTTGAACAACAAAAATGGAGGTTCGTGATTATTATCGCATAATAATAATTATAATTGCACTGTGATAATGTTAGAATCACGCTTTGGCCATATGCATGTTAAGTGAATGCGAACCGGGGGTAGGACATGCAATATTTGAATCTCATTACAATTATTAAAATCCCACTGTAGTCGCATTAGAATCAAACTGTCCACTGTTGGATGAAAGGGGAAAAGCAGCTCCGCCTGCGCAGACAGCAGCAGCAGAAGTGCGGGAGCAGCAGAAGCAGCAGCAGCAGCAGGCGCTGCCACCGCGGCAACAGCAGCTGCAGCAGCAGCAGCAGACCTCCACCGACGCTGCTGATGGTCACGCGCAGCCAATGACTGACGGCGGGGAAGATGGTTTCACCGTCGTTGAGTCGAGAAAGCGGAAGGCGAGAGGAGGCAATGCGGGGGGGGGGCGCGGTGGCACCCTTCCAAAACGCGTGGCCGCCGCCGAGAAAGACAACAGCGACAGTGACGAACGGGACAACCGCCCGAACGCAACAGCAGGGCGCGGCGGTAATCTAAAAATTACTGTAAACTAGTATTGTTAGTAAACTCTAATTTTGTGAACTCTAACAATATAACCTATGAGCTATACATTATAACACTATACAATAACATAATTAACTAGTGTTATAGATTAGAACAACCTACCTTGAAGTGTGATTTTCGAATCGCATTCGAATTATTCGAATCACTCCGTGGTCCTCTTCGAATCACACTACGGTCGTAAGTATGTAACATGTATGTATGTAACATATCTGTTTGTAGTAAGTATATGTGCATGTAACATGTATGCATGTAACATGTATGTATGTAACATGGTACATGCATGCATGTAACATGTATGTATGTAACATGTATGTATGTAATATGGACGTGCGAACCAAGGGTGGGATATGTGAAACGGAACGTGCAGGATCAGGATGGGATTAAACTTATTTGAATAACACTTTGGTAGTATAAGGATCAAGCTGTCCACTGCTGGATGAATGTTCCATCTCAATGGCATCAAATAGCAATTTTCAGTATGAATATGTAAAATAATCGCACAAACCCAATATTAGCCCGTGAAATAATGAATCGTTACAATTGTAATGACTCCGGACTCAGACTGCAGAGGGTTCTTTTATTTAGCCTTTAATGCGGTTTCAGACTCCAGGCGTCACGATATAGCAACGACGACGACGAGACAGCAACCAGCCAACACAGCCCCGAACCGCACTCTACAGATATGTATGTAAATTATCTGTTCAATCAAACCGGGGATCGGATATGTGAACTGTGGGGGGAGCGTACAGGACAAGAATCGCATTCAAATTTTATAATAACAATATGGTTGTATTAGCATTTTAATGGGCTTTAATGTATGTTATGTGCAAAGCAAATCGTTAGTAGTAAATGCGAGGGAGGGGTTAAGAGGTGCACGTTTAATCCAGTTATAACATTTATTTTAGCATCATATTTAAGAACACTGTTGTTGATAAGAATTCGTCTGGACATGGCACGTGCCTTGTTCTACTCGTTCAACCAAAATTAGTACAACGTCGGTCATACAGGAGTGTGATTTCATTCATGAGTAGTATTCACAGAGCCCCGATGTCACTAACCTACCTAAAGTTATGGTTAAACAAAGTAATCTTGAGTGACTTAATTCTCAGCTCAGACATGATCATCGCAATCATTTCCAAAGACGTGTGGGGTCTTGCGAGAGCAGGTCCCGACTACAAACAGCTGAGCAGCTGAATCGGAAGTAGCTGCGTCGCCCTCGAAATGTGATGTTGCTGCTGTTGTTGTCGCTATTGTTGTTGCTGCTGTAGTTGCTTTTGTTGCTGTGATAAACGCAAGAAGGTGGTGTTCCGTGATGGGATGACGCCTTTGATTAAAGTCTCTGATCAAACTCACCCGATTGACGCCATTGATCGTCGCATTTGATCAACTCTGATATTGTATACTCTCACATGTTAAGCTCTTTCATAGTGAAACATAATATAACCTATGAACTACAACCTATCCATTGTAACGCTGTAAAAGAATATTACCTATTGGGTTTCACTCCCTCGTCGAGAAGGCCGCTCTCTTCCTTTTCTAAAGTTACATGCTAATTTCTCTGCATTCACTTTAAATAGAGGACAAAGTTTTTCCATTTATTCAAAATAAGCGCATAATTACACACTGAGATGCACTTACATATTCATGCATGAAGCACAATGGGCACATTACCCTTCGGTATGTTAATAGACATGCGGATTGTGCATTCCAAAATTAACAATCGAATGCAAATATCCTGAAAGACAAAGGATTGGATCCTCGGGGGGAGTTATAAGGCGGCTCAGGAGCAGAGCTCAATGCCATTTCGAGAGGGAACTTGATGAGGTTGGACGCTCGACTCGTCGCTCTGCTGATTGCCCTTCAACCGCGAGACAACGCAGCCTGCCGAGCACAATTGCTGTGTCGACAGTTAGGCGACTTTGCGTCGTGAGAGTTCGTGGCGACATCTTCAGACGGGTTATAGACATCGATATACTGTGAATCTCCAATTAAGTGTCTATTTTCGCGGATGAACTCTTAAACGTTTTCGTCGTTAAATTAGCGGTATTTTTTTGCGTCTCGGTTAGACGCGAGTGTCGTTCTTGTTTTAGTAGTTAACAAAACTCAACGCTAAACATCCTTGCGGCCGATAGCGTACTTTTGACTCGATAACACCACTGCTGTTACTACGCTCACATGGAGCAGAGACGCTCTCCACAGCCCCACGCACACGGAGACAAGAAGCCATTCAATTGCTCTGTGTGTGGTAAGTCCTTTTCACGGCCATCACATCTTCAGAGCCACCAGAGAACACACACGGGCGAGAAGCCGTTCCTGTGTTCTGTGTGTGGGAAGGCATTTGCACAATCGTCAACTCTTCAAACTCATCAGAGAACGCACACGGGCGAGAAGCCATTCGTGTGCCCTGTGTGTGGGAAGACATTTTCAAAGTCATCAAATCTTCATAGTCATCAGAGAACACACACGGGCGAGAAGCCATTCGTGTGCCCTGTGTGTGGGAAGACATTTTCAAAGTCATCAAATCTTCATAGTCATCAGAGAACACACACGGGCGAGAAGCCATTCCTGTGCCCTGTGTGTGGGAAGACATTTGCAGACTCATCAACTCTTCATAGTCATCAGAGAACACACACGGGCGAGAAGCCATTCCTGTGCCCTGTGTGTGGGAAGACATTTTCCAAGTCAACAAATCTTCATAGTCATCAGAGAACACACACGGGCGAGAAGCCATTCCTGTGCCCTGTGTGTGGGAAGACATTTGCAGACTCATCAACCAGGAACAGGCATCAGAAGGTCCACAATGATAGGAAACTGAAATCAAAAGCTGAAATTCAAGGTGCTGCAATGAGTTCTAAAGAAGTTTCCACCTTCGATCCCATGCAGTTGGATCCCGAGAGATGGCTGGATGTAATGGAGTGGCTCGAGAGTCAACCAGAGAGCTCGGAGTGACTGAAAAAAAATTACGTCATGTGGTTATACCTTTTAAATCCGTATCGAGTACTTTTGTGTATAATTTTGACCATTTTAGTTTTACAGTTTTTGAGAGTTTAATGACGTGCACAGTGGTGGTTTGTAATGTTATCGGATTACTTGCCGAAGTGGTGTGATGAGCACTGGTTGTGAGAGGGTTCAATTGTAGTCGTTAAGTGTTCCTGTTGAGCTAAAGTTGGAATGCGTCTGTAGTTAGATCTTTACTCAACATTTTAAACGATTTTTTTTTCAAGTATATAGCTGTATTAATCGACTTAAGATAGCTGTTTTCAGGATGTACATTGATGACGCGTTCGTTGGATATATGGCCTTGACTTCAACATAGACGCACAGTGAACAAATGTGGTGAACTAATAAGGAAATAATGGGGAATGATACTTTAACGCTTTGGTATTCCTGGAACGGATATGGTTTGCATTGTACTGGAAATGTAATAAATATTCCCTTCGAGTTTTGACGTAAAAATGATTGCAGATGAATAAAAACGTATTTTTAACAAATGTTTGTCCGTTCTTTATTTTATAATGTTCCTAGAAAAAACATGTTAAGCGAGTTTCAGGTGGAGGATCTCCGTCACACAAGTGTGCCCTTAACCGGCAGCATCTTGGCTGTCTAACTGATTAACACGTGTTCCTTGAGGGGAAAGGTCCCCGTAGTTAATCGTTCATCAACGTAACAGTCCCTAATCCAAAGTATGTCGGGGATAAACTGTACTCTATAACATGTAAACTGTAATACTATAAACGATAACACTAAACATTAAATGATTATAAACTAGTGTTTTAATTTATAACCATATAAACGGAGGTAAGGTATTATAATATCATTAGAAGCATCAGAATCACAGTGTGGTCGTATAAGAATCGCACTCTGCTAATATGTTTGTATAGTGTACGTGCAAGGATCGGATAAAAATTATTACAATTACAACATGGTCATATTACAATCACGATTTTCACTGCTAGATGTCATCGAATAACAAAAGACGGAATTATTTATATAAATACAAGCACAAACCCATTATAAACTCATGAGATTATGAATCGTTACAATTATTATAACAATCACAAATTGTGACAAAGCGACATTCCCACAAGCAAAACACCACGCTCACGTGACGAATTCTTAAACAAACTGCAACACTCAAGTGACAGAACTCAACAAAAAAACGCCGCAATAAAAAGAACAACATCAATGGACAAATCCTAAAAACAGACAACACACGCACGTTAGTAGCTGTTAGAAGAAGACAACACCAAGCACCTTCAACTATACACATTGTACAGCCAACTCGTAAATGGGGCGGTATATGACAGTCTTCGCTGCTGTCGACGGGGCCAAGCAGCGAGTGTTTAACTCCATTGTTTCAGAATCCGTGTCATCACCCGGCCACAGCGCCTTAGCCAAACTACATCTCCCCAACAAGGCAGCCTTCCCTATGCTGTGTATTTTAGCAGTATATTTACTGACGCACTTGAAGATAACAATTAGTCTAGAAAAGGCAGCCGACTTGTTCTACCAACATGATTTCAATTTATATCCGAAAGAAGTATGAGTTCATTCATGAGTAGTATTCACTAAGCACCGATGGCACTAACCTACATACAGTTATGATTAAACAAAGTAAACATTAGTCGCTCATCTCAGCTCAGACATGATCATAGCAATTATTTCCAAATCCGTGTCGGGTCCCACGAGAACAGGGCACGTCCACAAACTCTCAAATTGTAAACTCACATTGCATACTCTAACATTATAAACTCTAACAATGTAACCTTTAAACTATGAGCTATACATTGCGACGCTTTAAAATAACACTACAAACTAGTGTTATAGTAAACTATAATGATGTGAACTCTAACAATATAAGCTATGAGCGATACATTATAACGCTATAAAATAACATCATAAGCTAGTGTTACAGAATAGAACACCGTACATTGAAGTGTGATATTCGAATCTCATTCGAATTCTTAGCTTCACACCGTGATCCTATAGGAATCACACTATGCTCGTGAGTATGTAACATGTCTGTATGTAATATGTATGCATGTAAAATGTATGTATGTAACATGTATGCATGTAAAATGTATGTATGTAATATGGACGTGCCAACCAAGGGTGGAATATGTGAAATGGAAGGTTCAGGATCAAGATGGGATTACAATTATTCGAATAACACTTTGGTAGTATTAGGATCAAGCTGTCCACTGCTGGATGAATGTTCCATCTCAATGGCATCAAATAGCAATATTCAGTATGAGTATGTAAAATAATCGCACAAACCAATATTAGCCCGTGAAATAATGAATCGTTACAATTGTAATGACTCCGGACTCAGACTGCAGAGGGTTCTTTTATTTAGCCTTTAACGCGGTTTCAGACCCCAGGCGTCACGATATAGCAACGACGACGACGAGACAGCAACCAGCCAACACAGCCCCTAACCTCGTTCCTCACCTCTTGTCCCTTAGTTGACGCACTGTCTTTACATCACCCACCTCTATGACCTCTACCTGACCCCGCCATGGGCGGAGCAACTTGGGGATTTTCCCGGTGGCACCTGTGGGCAATACAACCATGCCCTGTCCCCACTGCTCATGGAAGCACGTGTTCCCGCCGCCCCGAGTTCTTTTCATTAGCGGCTTGCGCTCTGGTGGGGAAAGGTCCTCGTTATGAATCGTTTCGCAACGTTCAGGTCCAGAAAACCGAAGTACACCGGGAATCACCTGTACTAAAAAAACATGTAAACTGATAACACTATAAACAATAACACTAAACATTAAACGACAAAAAACCTACCAACTGGTTTTATAATTTATACCACCATAAACGCAGGTACGGTATTTAAATCTCATTAGAAGTATTAAAATCGCACTCTACACATATTTATGTAAATTATCTGTTCAATCGAACCGGGGGTCGGATATGTGAACTGTGGGGGTACAGGGCAAGAATCGCATTTAAATTTTAGAATAACAATATTGTCGTATTAGCATTTTACTGTGCTTGAATGTATATTATGTGCAAGTGCAAATCGTTAGTCGTAAATGCGAGGGAGGGTTAAGAGGTGCACGTTTAATCCAATGTTAACATTTATTTTAGCATCATATTTAAGGACACTGTTGTTGATAAGAATTCGTCTGGACATGGCACGTGCCTTGTTCTACTCGATCAACCAAAATTAGTACAATGTCGGTCATACAAGAGTGTGATTTCATTCATGAGTAGTATTCACAGAGCCCCGATGACACTAACCTACCTAAAGTTATGGTCAAACAAAGTAATCTTGAGTGACTTAATTCTCAGCTCAGGCATGATCATCGCAATCATTTCCAAAGACTTGTGGGGTCCTGTGAGAGCAGGTCCCGACTATAAACAGCTGGGCAGCAAAATCGGAAGTAGCTGTGTCGCCCTCGAAATGTGATGTTGCTGCTGTTGTTGTCGCTGCTGTTGCTGCTGTAGTTGCTTCTGTTGCTGCAATAAACGCAGGGAGGTGGTGTTCCGTGATGGGATGACGCCTTTGATTAAAGCCTCTGATCAAACTCACCCGATTGACGCCCTTGATCGTCGCATTTGATCAACTCTGATATTGTATACTCTCACATGTTAAGCTCTATCATAGTGAAACATAATATTATAACATATGAACTACAACCTATCCATTGTAACGCTGTAAACGAATATTATCCATTGGGTTTCACTCCCTCGTCGAGAAGGCCGATCTCTTCCTTTTCCAAAGTTACATGCTAATTTCTCTGCATTCACTTTAAAT